CGCTCTGCCTCGGGGGGCGGCTGACCGCCTGCCCGCGGGGTAACGCTGTGCTCTGCTTTTCCCTCCTCTAGGCCCGAGGGGACCCCTTTCGAGGACGGTAAGTGCGGCTACGTGCGGGCCTGGTGTTTGGCTTTCTGGGGGTAAACTGCTGCAGGTTGACACGGCCTTGGTGTGTCACCGCCGTGGACTTTGCAACAGGTGTGGGCCTGGGGATGGAGAAGGGGCATGGGCGCACGTTCACTTGACCACGCGTCCCTGTGCTGCATCCAGGGCTTATGTAAATATATATATATATTTTTTTTTTATTCTACTCCAAGAAAGTGTTGTAGATTTAGATTGCTAGGTTGATTTACAGAAACATACAAATTAACTTGTAGGGGCTAGCTTGTAATTGCTAAATCTGACTATCCTAAGCCTAATTTAACGTACCATTTTAAGGAACTCCAGGCTTTTCTGTTGAACGCTGGATCACGTTTTTAGGGACACTCATATTTGGAGAACTGTCGAAAACCTGGTATAGAACCATTGTAATTTGTTTTGAGTACTGGTTTTTCTGATGCTGGAAGTGTTTTGCGAGTAGGTCCCAACGTGAGTCAGCTGAAGCAGGGAATGGGCTGAATGTTTGAGGAAGTTCAGAACGGATCTTTTGTTTTCTTTTCTTGGCATCTACTTCACTCTGCTACAATCGGTACCATTCAGGGTTAAAGATTTGAAAGACTTTTTAACTTTAAAAGCTGACTAAATAGGTCCTTATATATTTGTGTCCTGGTAGCTTCTGTCTGGTCTTATTGTCTTTTATAGCTTTGCTGTATGAATACTTCAGCATCTTTGTGAAAACTTGTTAGACATGAAATAGTGTCTAACTGAAATCAGTGATGTTTTTTTTTTTTAAGATACTTTCAGTGCAGGCTATAATTAATCCTAGATCTCCATGACTCATGACAAAAGCATAGGAAGAATTCCTTAACTCTTATGTTGTTCTTGGCTAACTCCTTTGTCTCTGTTTATCCTTGGAGGTAGCACCTGTGGGCTTGCCTGTAAATTGCAGATTTTTTTTTTCTGTGAAGATTTTGAAGATTTTAAATATTTCAGGCCTAAGAAAACTCCAAAGACTCCAGTTACTTTTTTTAACGTAGTCGATCAGTTAGGAAACTTGCTATAGTAGCAAGAAGTAGCTTCAGAAGTCTGGTGTTTCGAACTTCAGTATTCTATAACATCGCATAATAGAGCAGGTAGACTAAATGTATTCTGTTATCTCATCTTGTAAACTTTAAAGAAGGGCTCCCTTAAACTTCTGTGAGGGTTGCTAGAGCTGCTTAGGTTCTTGGTGCGCCGCCACTAATAGTGTGATTCACTGTTTGGAGCAGAAAGCCGTCTCCTTGTAGTGCATTAAAATGCAGGTTGTTTCCATGTTCAGGCTCTTCCAGCTCAGTGTGGGGTTAACAGATGCTATAAGGGCTTTTTTCCATATATTTCCATGTAGTTGCAGAAGGTTGGAGACTGCTTTTGAGAGCCCTGACATACTGATTTTGTCTGTGCTTTCCACTGTGGCAGCATTGTGCCTTTATCTCGAATACTTAGGACATGTTGCACTCGCAGCAGTTCGAAGCTCAAACAGATGCTTGAGTCTGCTACTGCTGTCTTTCTGCTTTGGTTGATGTAATAATCTCGGTGTGTGATGGATTGCTCTTTTCATAGCAAAGTGTGTGTTTTCACAGTATGCGCTCAGGAAAATAGATATGTCTTGTGTTGCAGGATAAGCTTATCTCCTTTTCTCTGGGACATATCTTACATTGTGCTAGATAACAAAATACTAAGTGGTGCCTAGAGATACGGGTGCATTGGTGCCTCAGCTGTGCTTTTGCATTAAGTGAGTCGAGTAGCACAGCTCAGATAATGGTAGCACAGTTCAGATGCAGTTTAGGTTAATGTAGGTACAATTAAGGGATTTTTTTATTTAACAGTATTGAGCTGTTAGTTTGGGCTTGTTTTGTAACTGTGCAGGCCCTTGTGAGTCAAAGGTACACTGGAGCTCTGTAATCTTTCTTGTGAAGCCTTTGCAGGCCGGTGTTTTTCGGAAGTAGCTTTGTATTTTCGTTTTTAGGCCCTGTCACTTCCTGGTGACACTGTAAGACTTCAGATACCTCAGCTCTTCTGAAAGTAGCCTGTGAATTTTTTTTTTTATTGTTGTTGAACTAGAGTTGTAATAATTTCAACATCGTGAGAATTACTGTTCTTTATTGCTCATTCTGGTGAGGTCCTTCTCCAGTCTCAGCTTCTGAGGTTTCTTAGCTTTGTCTGAACTGGAAACCTGAAGTTCAAACACGTTTGTTTACTTGCTGTGCAGCATAATGCAGCTAACAACCCTGCCTCCCCTCCGCCCCCAGACTTCAGAGGGTGTTTTCACAACTCGGTGCGCAGGCTGACTCGGCCTCGGAGCAACTACTAATTTAGATCAGCAGCATAACTTCCATCCACTGGTTTAAGAGGATTCGATTGCAGGTGTCTGCAGGAGGACCCCAGGGATATTTATCCTGCCCTTCACCATATTTCTAAGACTCTATATGTGTGTGGCATCTAAAGTGGTAGTGCTGTCACAGTGATGGAAACCCGGGCTCTCCCAGGCCTTCAGACCTGTTTCTCTGAAACTAGATGATGATATTGTGGTTAGTGCAGGATTCCTGGCTTGGAGAGAGTTAAGGAACACAGCTATTGGAGTATCCTGTCTTGCTGTTATAGCGCAGGAGGCTTGAACAGAGAAAGCAAGGCATTTGCCTTCTGTATGGTTAGTCCCTTGCTTACGGAATATGGATTCTGCGTCCTTGTGTAGGAGAGGCAGAGATTGTCCTTGCTTTATGGGCAGTGGAATAGAGGGGGCTGCTCTTGCTCCTTGCAGTGAGGCGGGCCCGGCAGGGACATGGGTGCTGCTCTGGCAGGGGTTACTCGGACCAGTACGGGGTCATGGAGAAGCCTCTGTGTTAGCCGTCTGAGAGTCCCGCATCCCGAGGCAGGAGAAACAGATCAATAAGGTGAGTAAGTACAAGAGAGAAAAGAGAACGTTCTAAGATCAGTGATGATCCTAATATCAATAATGACAGTGAATATGATAATTTATGTTTTAAAATTGGCTGTCTAGGGCAAGTTGCAAGGAATACCAGTTGAAAGCTTTGAAATTAGTGACAGAAGAGACTGGACGCTGAAGGCCTCATTCCCAGCTGTGTGTTTCGTGATGCCTGTTTCACTTGTGTGGGCTTTTAGTGT